CATTGCCAGGGGCCAAGTCATCCTCAAAGAGGCATAATGTGCCTAACCAAGAGCTGCCTGTTAGAGGCTCATCTCCTATCATTTTCTTTCTTCCAGCTGTATCACCAGAAATTTAGGCAGTGTTGCCAGCAAAAACACACAGGTTTCAGGTTTTGGTGTCTTTTTTTTTTTGTTACAGCATGCTTTTTATTGCTCTCTCTCATCATCATTGATAACAATTCAAGAGCAGAATGCTTTTCATGGTTTGGGATAGTGCTCTCCATATTTAGCAGCTTTCAGAAAGAGTAGTAAGAAGCAAATGTTTTTCCCAGCACTTGCAAAACCTTCAAGGCAGTTAAAATATAGCTGCTAAGCAGACCACACCGTACCAATGTCCTTCCCTTATCACTGGCATCCATCGGCTGAACCCTAGGCATTTCACTGGATTTTCCTTTACCATGGGAGTTTCCTCCTGATTCTCCTCTGAAAATTCCTTACTACAACACAGTTCATTTCATGAAAGCAATTAACATCAGTAAGTGTTCATATGCATGTCTCTCCTCATAACTGCTACGTGTGACCATCCAGTAGCTGTGTTCTGCTACGCCTTGTTAGACAGCAGCAAAGCAGTCACAAAAATAAATGGAATTCCAATTTGCTATTGATCTACTTTCAAAACTAATAAACAGGGCTGGTGTTGATAATTGTCAAACCTCTGCCCAAATAAAACTATGACACTTCATAAATATCCAATAGAGATAGATCTGCATGTGTCCCATTTTCCCCAGTATTTATAAATATATCCCTTTAACACTGAATCTTCTGTTAGAAAATGTCATCTCTGTCATTCCCAGATGTTCTATTTTAAGCATGAATCTCTCCTCCTTGACTAACTCAAACAAACATCCCTCTTGCTTTAGGCCCCACGCATAAACATCATTCTACCCCATGCATTCCTATTAGAAGATACAGAAGTGAGAGATGAAAAGAATTAACCCATCCCCGGGGTAATCCAATTGCTCTGCTGGCCTCCAGCACGGACTAACCCTGTACCAGCCAGGTTAACATATCTCCAGAGTCGGGAAGGGATGAGCAGCAGCAGTAAGGAAGCAGCTTCCCCTCTACAATACCATGCAGGAATGTTTTGTGCCACTCAGTTTCCCTTGCTCTATTTCCACTCATCATTTTTCAAGAGTGCGTAGAGCAATTCTCTCTTGTCCTTGGCGTTCATAACACTCCCTGGGTACCAAAAGGTTTGGCCACATCCCCTCTGCATGCCCAGAGGGCACAATGACCCACAACCTTAAGCCCAAGCTTTAGCTTGTTTTGAGGCCTAGGTTGTGTGAAAAGAAACACTTCTGACATCTGCTTCTTTCAGCTGGTCCGAGAAAAAAGACAAAGTTTTGAACCACACAGCTTGATACCACCACTGGGATATTTGTTAGAGAAGGCAGACCCCTGAAGGTTGAAGACTGCTGATATCCCCCTTCTCTGCAAGGAGCAAGGAAAGCCTGGCCATTATTAAACCCCAGAACTCTCAGGCTAATAAACATGGGAACTGGCCTGGTCTTTGTACAGCCTGCCTACGGTGCTTTATTGTTTAGACTGAACTGCTTTAACAGTAGGGGGAAAAACTTCAGATGTGTGGCAAAGAGAAAAAGGTAGAGAAAAAAATCATAGTTTCTTTCTACACAACATGAGACTTCCCTCTAGTATCAGTGAAATGAAAAGGCGTTTCTTCTGCCCCGATCAGTCATAACATTTAAACCACAGAGCTAGCCGTGAAATCCTATGCATCATTTAGGACTTTGATGCTGAACTGACTTCATAGTAAAAATGTCTTGGCAAGGCTAAAGCACCTGCTGTCAAAGGGAAACACTGATTAAAGGGGTGGGTGTTGTTTTAAAGAGGTCTTGTTCACTTTCACAAAACTGCATTAGGGTAATCCCTGAGTTATATCTCTGATGAGTAATTATTCCTGCAGTGTGGCTAGAGAACTGCTACTCAAAATCCTCATTAAAACCCATATGTATTTCTTCTGCATTTTCCTTTCAGCTATTATCAATGACAATGATCCGTGTATAAATATACACTTTCCTCCTTGATGATTATCCCTATTTCTTCTGCCTGATTCATTCAGCAAGGCCACAGTTCAATGCTTTTGAGGCCACAATGGCCTCTATGGGAATTAAGTCTGACATCAGAAATACTGAATTGTGATTTCAGTGAATGAATTAAATGGGGAGGATTACACTAAATATCACTGAGAGTGCTCCTACTCTCGTAGCCAGTGGCAACCTATTTACTATGGAATCAGTTAAGGATCTTATCTTAGGCAGAGCCCATGAAAATTACTATTTGGGACAAATTGTTTAGCCATTGCTTTAAGAGGAGCATAGTTATATCCAAAGTGATGCTTTCTGTTCCTTGTGTCAGTGTTTATAGGGTGGAATCTCGTGGCCAGTGGCAGACACTTTTAGATTTTTTCATTTACCTGTGGCCTAAAAGTGCCCAAACCTACACATGGTGGCCAGGAGAGAGTCATTCGCTTTCTGAAGAGAAATACATTCCAAGATGATGCAGCTGATCATTACAAATAAAACTACAGGCTCATTTCCAGTACTTTATAATAAAACACTAAACTTGTTAGTGCTCATTTCACTGTCTCAGTTATCAGCTTCTTACAGAGACAAGACTGCTAGAGCAACACCAGTGCTACCACCTACTTTGGAAAGCTATACCAGGATTAACGGATCTTCAGAGATAAAAATACTAGGAGTAAAATTCATTCAGCTTCCCTCTGCCTCGGGCAGTAGAAATGGAAAAGCATACTGATGAAACAAATGAGAGAAGAAGAAAGACCCTGGATGGGGGAGCTGGAAGAGAATACAGACGCACAAGACTCAAGAATGGCTAGAAATATGCAGCATGCACAAGAAAAAAAAATCTTTACAAGTCTGAGAAAACTCCAACTCTTAGGAGAAATTAAACTGTAAATCACAGCAACCTCTTACTCTGCTAGTTTTACTCAATTTATGCAACTTCCTTCAAATGTCCTTGGCCTTCCCAGCTTCCCTTTGGAGCATAGGTAAGATGTTATCCATTACATTCTAACTTCCTCCGTTCCTCAGAATGGAGAGACATGCTTTCATAACAGAGCTTCAGAGGGGCCAGCACCTGCCAAGGTAGCTGTCTCTTCTTGCATTTCTGTTAAAATAGGGGCCTTGGCAGTAAAAACAGCAACAAAATCAACAGTTTTCAAGAATCAAACACCTATCCCAAAAGACGCATAAGGGTTTAAAACAGTAGAAAAGCAATTCTCACTCTCTTCTATTTCTCAAGGCCTAGGGAAAAAAAGACAATTAACATTAAAGTTTTTCCACCAAAATCTCATGGTCATCACTTTTTGAAAAGTGAAATCTGAGTTTAATCTGCCAGCACTATAGGCAACAAAATGATGGATACAATTTCCCTTTGTAACACACCTTCTGCCCGTGCAAGGCCCTGCTATTCATATATATGTGATGCTTCTATGCAGGAGAAAAAAAGTCAAATTTTTAAGCTATTTAAAAAACCATAATGATACATCCCCAAAATCCACATTCACTACCCTACTCAAAAAAAAAAATCCTAAAAAAACCACCAAAAATACAAAACCAGAATAACACTGAAGCATTTGTTGGGAAAACGTTTAATGGAATGGGTGGCTCCCACTGCTCTTTTTTGTAACACCAAAATCAACTTCTCTTTCAGTACCTTGAAGAGTCATGGCCTTGATGGCCAAGAGGCTGATGCAGAAGCCTGTCTGCATACCTGTCCTCAGAGAGAAATGCCTCCTAGAATATTCACATGTGCAAAATAGCAAGCTGCACCTACAAATCAATCAAGCAGACCATGCTGCTAGAATTTATTCTAACAAGATAAACAGCCAGGACGGAGCAAGCAGGTAAATTGATAGGAAAACACTGAAAATGTTTTCTTCATAAAATAGGCAAGCAGTCTACAAAGGATGCTCTAAGAGAAATGCCTTAAGGATGAGTACAGTTTATTAGCAAGCAGCCTTTAATTTGAGGTTGCTTAGCACATAAATTTGGGGAATAAAGAAGGGAGGAACAGTCAGAGTGATCTCATTTTTCTTCCAAAGAAACAATTAAGTATGATGATAACCTGCTTTCATAGAGATGGCTGAGCACCTGTCTGCCAATGGAGTGTGGCAAAGGAATTCCTTGTTTTGTTTTGCATTCACACAGGCTTTTTACTTTACTTTTAATACAGACTTTTTACTTTAAACTCTATCTCAAAATGCCAGTTTTCTCACTTTTTTGAGCTTCCTATTCTCTCTCCCATTTCACAAGTGATGCCCCCTTGACTTAAGCACCACTGAAGACCCAGGACACCACCTGTATTCACTCCTCCCCATCCCTACAGACGTACAGGTGCTCCTACTTTCCTTTGGGAATTCTGGCAAAGAAATAACCTCAAGTTAATAAAATGTGAGAAGGCCCTATCCTGTACAGCATAAACTTGGACAAAGCAACAGATGCAAGGGCAGCCACACAGCATACTGGAAGTTAAACAGGAAAGCTATATTTCACATATGATATGACAGTGTAATTTAGAAACCATTCAAAAATATTAAATGAACAAAAAATAAATCTGCTTCAGGGATAAATAAATAGCATCTGCATCACCACCTGAAGCCCTGTTGGCAGTTTCAGTAGGGAACCTACAGCAAGTTCACAACAGGATGACTGTCCTAGCATTGCTCTTCATGACTAAAAAAACTCACTATAATTATATAGTGAAATACAGAGATGCTTGGAATAAATCTGTGCTTGCACAGTCTTTCTACAACAATTGCTCAAACAAAAGTTTTGAATATCATTTATTTTTGTCTCCTTTGTCAAGCCAAAATAACAAAATAGTATTTCAGCAACACCAAGTCAGTGTGATAGTCTGAACAGCTTTAACTCTTACTAACTCAGCATAAAATTATCTTAGCAACATATAATTGGCAGTACCTGTTCGAGGAGCAGGAGCAAGGCCACGCACATCCTGAGGTCAGTAATCCAGGAGGCAGAAATGACCACAGCACTCAAGAAGGGCAGAATAGGCTGGTGGTTGGGGGTCTTTAAAAGTCTTCACCAACAAAGCAGTCCAGTAAAGGGCACAAGGCACCCCAGAAAAGAGCCATACCTCTTGTTTTGAGCTTAAATAAGAGTCCCAAGCCTACAGACAGAGAGAACAAAGTCAGGCTGGCTGAGCTAGCTCGGGAAGTTCAGGTTCTAGGTATCCTGGGGTCTGCTCAGACTTAAATGAGCCAATTATTCTCAGCTGGCCTTTGAGGGAGTCTCTGCTACAGGATTGGCTGGGCGAACTCAGTGACTCAGTGACACCTGAGACAAATTATCTAGAAAAGTCTCTTCATTAACACTGAAAAGCACCTGGCCAGCCAGGAGATGCACAGGTGCCTGTATTTTGCACAGATGAGTCCCTCCCAATGCTACAGAGAGGCCAAGCCCAGGCTGAGGAATAAACAGTGAAGACAGTTAATTACAACTTGAACCAGCTCTGGGCCCACTTGTTTCTCAGATATTTGTTTCTGTATGTTTTAAAAAGCATTTTGCTTTTACAGAAAGCGCTGCTTTCCATAGGTTCTGTACAGTGCCACAAGGGAAACCTGTTGGCCAGTTTTGCTGATTCTGACTATAAACAACATTTTTGCAGTTGTTGCTCAAAAGCTTCTTCTTTTGCTGACCCACAAAGCAGCTGGTCTGAGAGCCATTCCCTGGTACATGGACTTTGAGCAGGAAGTTTTCCCAAAACATATATTCTTGTCATTTTCCGAGAATTTTAAATGCACAGAATGGGTGAACCTAAAAGGGACTACAGTGGGTCATTGGGTCCAACCTCCTTTCATTCTAGGAAGGCTCCCTATTTTGGATAGCATAAAACCTGGGGTTGTTTAAGAAACAGAAATAGCCATAAATCTTGATCATGTAAATGGGAGTATCATTTCATAAAATGCTTTTTATGTGAACCGTTTTTCACAATCTACTTGGGTAAGTTGTAATGGCCACTGTATATTTTCAGCAGTTGTACCTCTAACTTAAAAATAATGGTGCTGTATTGACCACAAGATAACCCTTTTTCATTATGAATAACATCAGATTATATATCTTTCACACGTTTTTGCTTTATTCAACAGTTTTGGTGTGCGTGACCTTATTCTATTAATGTTAAGCAGAATTAATTAAAGCTACAGGCTTTTTTTTCTTAGTGCAACACATTTTGCTTAAAAAAGTAATGTATCACTCCTGATTAATTTTTTGTGACTTAAATTATTAGCTTTTCCCCGTGGTTGTCATCGTTCCATATTTTTTTTACGAGCTGCTAATGTTTTCTAGTATAAATTTGAACCTGCTTTACTCATGTGAACAGCTGTTAGGTTTATACAGCTAAGGCAGGGCTCCCTGCAGCCTTGTGCTGAAAGTTTGACATGGAGACCAGAAGTCAATGGCTCTAAAGCAAGACCATTCTATATTATAAATAGGATAATTATATATAGTAGCTAGCCCTGACAGTGGCCATCTGAGTTTGAAAGTCCTTACCCAGCTGAAGACACACTCTCCAATTTGGTTTTGGCCCTGGTTTTCCTAAAACCACCCAAAAAACAGTTGTTGCCTCTGCATTGTATTTAAAATCATTACACCAGAACCACTGGAGTTCTCAGCTGTGTTTACCCCATACATTTACATATTTGTGCCTTAACTATGTCATAGTCACATCAGTCACAAGTCCGTGTCCTCATGTGCTCTGACTAGTTCTTTCCAAAAACCTGGGTGATAACTGGTTGATAATGTTTGCTGGTTTATTGTTTATAACATTTATTGGTTAATAACATTATTCCAACTGTGCTGTTCTGATGGAGCAAGAAATACAAGGCATGTAGGAAGAGCCACAGCCATTAATAGATGCACAGATATAAATGGGGACAAGGGTGATGGGACATCAAGACATTCTTTAGGTTCTCTGACCCCAAGGATTTCTCAGGCTTCAATGCAGCTCAGATCACACATGTTTGATCTCATTTGTGTATGTACTCCCGTGGCTCAAGTTGCAACAACCTGTTTCCACAAATACTATTCCTACTGTAGGGCACTGCTTAGATTTGTGAAAGTGAGGTACAGATTATGCCACATATCACTGGACATATGGAAACCATGCATGGCTGCTGTGTGGATGATTTCTGGCTGGTTTCATCACTTCCCCATGAAGGCTTTGATTGTGCCTGAATCGCACGTGTTTGTAGAGTTTAGACAGCTGCAGTGAGGCAGGGGAAGACTTTCAATGACTCTCCTCATGTACATGTGAACACTGGAAAATGGGATTTATACCTCAGGCCCTGCTTACTATGGTGAAGGAATATGCATTGATTCCTAGCACTCAGAGAATACCTCTCACATTGTGGAGCAAAATGTAAAATTCCTCCAAAATAATTATAGCAATGCTATGTAGATCTATAAGAGATACAATGAAGTAAAATAATTATGTGTCCAAAAATTGTGAAGGGCAACATTGGTTCAGAGAGCAGACTGGGTGAAATTGAGCATTGGTTTTACAAATCCTTAAAGGAAATGTACACCGGGAAAAATATTTCCCTAATCCTAAAATCTTGGTGAAGTACCAGGATTGGTTTTAACCTGACACAATGCCCTGGTAGCTCTTTGCCAGATTTGCTCTGCCATGATTTAGTCATCCTTGCTGTGTAATTTCATCCAGAGCCTACCTCTTTCCCTGCCAATACAACTTGCATCAATTTCTGCTGTGTGAATGTAGTGTTTTGTCTATCAAACTTCCACCAAAGGGAAAAGGCTTTTGGATATTGTGATCAAGACTTTTAATATGGTAAGGCTCAGTATCCAGCTATCTGTTCCTGAATCTATGCTTTCCTGCTGCTTGCTCGTGCTCCCTTCATTTCTGCACTGCCAACGGAGGATGTTGCCGTTCCTTGATAATGCACAAAAAGCAGCAAACTAGCAAAGCTAGAAATGCAACAGTGAAAGATGTTTTTTCTTTGTTTTTTCCAGGCTTTCATGGAAAAGAAGGGTCCTCTGCCCGTTCTCCCCTACATTATTTGCAGCATGGCTAATGCATCTAAAATTAAAATGCAGGGAGAGGAGGAGAGCATGATGGTTGATTTTTATAAGCAGAAAGATCTGGAGTCAGAAGTGAAGCAGTTAAAGTAGCAGCAGCATGTTTACTAAGCCATTTGAAGTTGATAGCCCACACGGCCTGGCTTTTTTCTCTATCTTCGTAAACCACAGTGAATTGATGGAATGACCTGGACTTGATCTTCAGGGCAATATGTCTGATGGCACTGCTGGATTGATAAATTGATTCAAAACTATTACCATGGTGAAAAAGCAATAAGGTCATAAAAATTGCATCAGCTGGCTAAGTAAATCCTGGCATTTCATGACAAGTAATGCAGAAGAATCGCAAGAGGATCTGGGCATGAGGCTGAATGAGTGAGCGAGAAATGACTTTGAAGAGCTCATCATCTCCGATCTATTCTTCCTGCCAGCGATTCATGCCTTCGCATAGTGCTACTTCATTATGGGGAAATAACTGTACACTTCTAGCATATTCCTGGCCGTCCCTGGCGGCCCCTGGAGGACCCTTAGCTGGTTAATACCTCATCATGGGCTTCATTGAACACTTTAATCTGCACTTGTGTGATCAATAGAATCCTGGTGTAAATTAAAAGGACAATTTCATGTAATCAAGCCTGTTAATGCTCATTTTGAAAACCATTATTTGTGGAAGGCATTTAGGAGAAAATTACAAAGCGACAGGCTGATGCACTCGCAGCTGATTCAAAAGGAGATCTTTTCTGTGGCTTTGTGGATGGATGGTGGGGGCCACCAGCAAGTGCATTGCTGTGCTGGGCAGGAGGAATGGGGCAGGAGGAGACAGAGGGGTAGCAGGAGAAGCAGTCCAGCAGGAATATGAGTCCGCCTGCTTGCCTTTGCAAGGGGAAGAAAATGAAATTTTCCAGTGTTCTATTTCTGTGGCAAATTCAATTACTGTGGGGACTTGTTCAAAGCGGTGTAGCTTCCAAGAGGCAGAAATTGAAAACCCAGCAGCTAATGAAATGGCAAATCACTAGTAAGTTCAGACAAGGGCTGTCAGTCAGATCAAACACCTAGAGAAAAACAGCCACTTCCTTCTGGGTTTCAACAGGCAGCCTTTCCCCCCCAACTCCCACAGCACACACCTCTTTGAAAAGCAAAACACAACTTTCGGGGGCAGCACAGTTATTCTTTTCCTGAAATTAATCATCAGCGTAACATATTGCATATTCCAACAGCTGCACCATCCAGGAAGGCAAGTCCTGCTCTTACTGGGTACCTGAATTTGTTTTAAGCAGCTGAATGAGGATGGCTTTTGCCAGAGCACTAAGCTGCATGCTTCTCTGAGGGGTTGCAGTGTGCACACCTGTGTCCATAGTGCTGCAACCTCCTCTGTTTCCAGTCTTTCAGAAGCTGACAATTCCAAACAACTGGGAAATAGATTGGAATACCAGAACATGTTTCAACTATTTTGAAATACACAGCATGACCTCACCTGGCCAGTACTGCCTGAAAGGTAGATGTCACTCTTCTGTTCAGCACGTGGACCTGCCACTTTGCCTTCTCTGCATCTAAGGTATTGGATCCACCAGCAGCCACGTCACACTTTGAAGATGAAACTCCATGAAGGGACATAGACTAGGCCCCTAAAGCATCTTATGCTTGAAATGCTTCTTGTTCATGCCTTCTGAACCTGGAATCGTAGCCATAACTAAAATCTTTACTGGTCTGTAACATGCTGTCTCTCTTCCTTTCTTGATTCTGGAGCAGACAAGACTCTTTGGTGGTTTGTTCTTTTCACCTAGATGAGCTTCACCTAGGTGGTAACAGCAGAAGATGCTGTTATGGACTCCAGTCTGAACTCAATTCCAAGATTACAACTGGTTCCCAAGAAGAGGAAGCTAGAAGTTTTCTTTCTAGGATGTGCTTCTATGCAGTTCTTTCAGAAATCTCTCCTTACCAATACTGATTCTTTCCTCAACAACACGTGTATTCATCTCCAGTTATCCATATCTCTGCTGTCAGTGAATAACCATTCAATAATCACCCAGTCTCTTCTGAAATAAATCCTTGAACTAAATGTGGTACATTTGATTTAATATCAGAGAGCCACTTGCAGTTCTATCAAAGGGGAACAGGCATTCTAAATTCAGTGTAA